GTGGAAGCTACACTTGAAGAATTTCTGACCTGGAACTGTGACCAGTCTAGTGATTCTGGACCATTTAAAGATTATGATCATTCTAAATTCTGGGCTTATGCTGACTACAAATATTTTGTTAGTCTATTTGAAGACAAGACAGATATTTTCCAGGTAGGTAATACATTCCTTTTCATCTTAGTAAGAAATTACTCTTGAATGGGAACCATCAAAAATACAAATTATTTAGTAATAAATGCAGGAAAGGATGTGGAGGCAAAGGAACACTCATATGCTGTTGTAGGATTACAAATTAGTACAACCACCGTGGAAATCAGTATGGAGGTTCCTCAAAAGACTAGTAATGGAACCACATTATGATCCAGCTGTACCTAGGGATTTATCCTAAAAACAATTACTCATCAGACTATAGCGATACATGCGTACCCATGTTTATACACAATCACCAAATTATGGAACCAGCCTGGGTGTCTATCAGCAGATGAGTGGATAAATAAAATGTGATATATGTACACAGTAGAGTTTTATTCAGCCACAAAGAAGAATAAAATTATGTCATCTACATGAAAATGGGTAGAACTTGAAAGCATTATGTTAAGTGAAATAACCCAGACTCAGAAAGTTAAGAGTGGTATGTTTTCTCCCATATATGGAGGCTAGAGAGAAAAAAGGTAGAAGGTGGTCTCATGAAAATGGAAGGTAGATCAGTAGAATAGAAGAGAGGACCAGGGGGGTGAAGGAGGTGTGGGGAAGGAGAGATACTAGGAAATGAAGTTGTCCATTTTATATTGTTGTATTATGCATGTATGAATATATAATAATGAATCCCACTATTACACATAATTATAAGACACCAGTAAAAAAAAAATTTTTAGAAAGAATATGCTTTACCAAAAGATCCTAAATTACAATCTTCCTGGTATTTTCTGCCTTGACTGCCTTTTTGTCTCATAAATAGTGACTGTGAGTCTGGAGCATTTTAACCAATAAAGCCAAAAGGTCTACTCAAAAGAAGTATGTTTGATTGACGCATATCAGCAGGCTTCTGTTTTCCTACTCATTAGACTTGCTACGCACCCCTCCTTTGCCTTTAAATGGTACTGAGTAGCTTAGAGTATACTAGAAAAATACCTGTGTTTAAAACTTCATCTGCTGCTGACCTACATGGAAGTTCTTGTTCCATCAGTGAGGCAGGTAGAGATATAAAGTTTCTCCCAGGAAGCATTACTTATGTCACTCTGCCATACTGTCTGCTCTGGGGTTTAGTACAGCTAATTTTTCTCTGGTGGTTTATGGCCTGAGACAGAGAATTTTGGGCTCCTGGTATTTGGTAGTAGAAGACCTGCAAAAAATGTGCAGAATATGGAAGTTCACTGCTGTGTGTTGACATAACTGTCAACAGTTTGCAGATTACCATATCCTCTTTTCTTTTACATGACTTCTACCTCAAAATGCCAGTTTGTTTTGTGGGGTAATTTTGCAAACTCCCAGGTTTGATTTCTGTCTTGTCTTAGGTGTAGGGCAAGGGTAAGTCTGGCCCCAGGGAGCCTGTTTGGATGGCTCTGCCTTGCCCATAATCAGGCCACATCTCCAGAGTTCCTCACTCTGTTCTTAGTTTTGTATAGAGACAAGTATACAAAAACCCTCAGCACTGCAGGCTCTTCCCCCTGCTCCTCCCCTCCCACCTGTTACCACCACCCCTCTGGCCTTTCCTTTCATGTGGGATGATTATTCTTTGGTTCCAGAGCCAAAGAATTTTTTTCCATTCAACCTACATTTTCGTGTTTCTCTTTGCATCAAGGTATTTACATGGTTATTATAATTCAACTAATATTTTGCAGCTTTCCTTTATTAACTTTTACAAATGTTTGCTTGAATAATTTTACATTTTTTGGAGAGGGGGTAATCGAGGATTGAACTCAGGGGCACTCAACCACTGAGCCATATCTCCAGCCCTATTTTGTATTTTATTTAGAGACAGGGTCTCACTGACTTGCTAGTGCCTTGCTTTTACTGAGGCTGGCTTTGAACTCACAATCCTCCTGCTTTGGCCTCTTGAGCTGCTGGAATTACAGGCATATGCCAGTGTGCCCAGCTAATTTTACTTTTTATTGAAAACTATATCACCTTGCTCCATAATTGTTAGTTGAGGGTGTATCTTTATTCTTGTAGCCATGAAATAAATGCTTGATTTGTTTGTTTGTCTGTCTGGTGTTTTTGTTTTTGTTTTCCTTCTAGAAATGGGGTCTCGCTGTGTTGCTTAGACTAGCCTCCAACTCCTGGGCTCATGCCATCTCCCTCTGCAGTTCCCTAGCACCATAGGTGTACTCTCACACCATGCTAAGTGCTTGAATTTGAAAACATTCATTAAACATTTCTGAATCCAAAGTTCATACCGAATCTATTTACTTATTTTTAAATAATTTTGAAATAGATGTTTTCTCTCTTAACCTCAGATCACATTATGGATCTTTAATCCTGGAAATTAAAGATTTCCTAATTAGCTTTTAGAGTACTTTGTTATATTTCTCATATCCCCAACAACTCTGTAGAATTGAACAAGTGCCTTCTTACTCCAAATTTCAAGTAAAACGTCATGGGAATATAATGTTTATCAAGTACTTATCTTTGATACTTTTCTAAACTTTTCGGAACACCTTACTTTAAAAAAAAAAAAAATCCTGTAGTTGTAGATGTACATCATGCCTTTATTTTATTTGCTTATTTTTGTATGTGGTGCTAAGGATCGAACCCAGTGCCTTACCCATGCTAGGCAAGCACTCTACCACTGAGCCACAGCCACAACCCCAATGCCTTACATTTTTCATGCTCATAATAATTTAATAATTATCCCTTTTTTTAAAGAAAAATGAGGCACCAAAAAGTTCTGGTAACCTTTTCAAAGATTATACAACTAGGGAGGAGTTGACCCACTGAGTCTGTCTCCAGAGCTTCAGCTCCTGCTGTGCCTTCAGAGGGTTCAAATACAAGCAGCCCTGTGGGGCTCTGCAGCCAGGAGAAGCACTTTCAACTACAGGGAGTCTGGCTCTCTTGACCTAGGATACATCCCTCATCTGACCCTGTCAGTGCTTCAGTCCTATCCCAGGCAGCCAGCACTAGGCAGACACGTGACCTGGCCATTATAAGTGCAGACATAAAAGACAGCCTTTCGGTAATGTGCTGGAATTCTAATTAAACCCTTATAAAATCTGATCTTTTTAGTTGAATGAATTTTCTGTCAGCTCATATTATGGTGATTAATTCTGCTATGAAGGACCAAGTCTACTCAGATCATATCTTCTTTTAACTTAAAGTTTTCTGGGTACCAAGTCTTCTTATATCACAAGCACATAAGTTGTTGTCGTTTTGTTTTGACTACTATAATCCATTAGGTCATTAAATCTTATTAGTCATTGTTTCAAGCTTTTTTATTACAAGAGAAGATTGTTTACATTCTTGCCAGCCCTTTAGTGTCTGGCTTGTAGATAACAGCTGGATTCTCACATCTGCTTTTTCAGTCAAGCTGCTGGATTTATTGATCTTTTGGAAGGATATGAAGAAAATCTTGCTTCACACACATATGCAGCTAAAAAAGAAAAGAAAACAGAAGTATTTTAATAGCCTTTTCGGATAATTGTGGAATTTTCACATTTGACAAGGGATAGTTTCTTTTTTTCCCCTTTTTTCTTTGTTATTCTTCTTTATATCTGTGATTTTTGTGTGTGTAGGTGGGGAGAGGGTTACTAGGGATTGAACCCAGGGTCACTTTACATTGAGCCACATCCCCAGCCCTTTTTATTTTTTATTTTGAAACAGGGTCTCACTAAGTTTCTTAGGCTTCACTGAGTTGCTGAGGCAGGTCTCAAAGCATCCTCCTGCTTCCTCCCATGCCCCTGGAATTACAGGCATGAGCCACTGTACCCAGCAAGGGATAGTTTCTTAAAGGGTCATTAGTTGCCATGTAGAATCTCAACCCAAAATGAATAAACTCTTTGTACTTTTACATAATAAGATTCATTGATCTATCTTGAACAGAATAGATCCGAGGTAATATAATTCATTGACTATTTATAAAATGTTGCTTTGCTAAGCTGTGTAGGTCTTGCAAATGTTGGTGCATTTCAGTGTACTGAATACATTCCATAATATAAAAAGTCATATTTGCTAATATCATCACCATTCTCATTACAAAACCTTTAGCATTAGAAAACTTTCAAGGTCATATATCTCAAAATACAGCTTGCAAAATCATTTTAATTCAGTTCAAAATATTTTCTAATTTATCTAGTGATTTCATCTTTGACTTACTGGGAATTTTTCAGCTTTCTGTTATTGATTTTTAATTTAATTCCATTGTGGTGAGAAAACATACTTTGTATGAAGTCAGTCCTTTTGAGTTTATTGAAACCTATCTTATGGCCCAGAATATAGTTAATCTTGATCAACATTCATGTATCCTTGACAATATTGTGTATTCTGTGGTTGGGTGGAGTGTATAAATGTCAAGTCAGGGTGATGGTTCAAGTCTCCTGCATCCTCAGTAGTTTTCTGTATATGTGTTCTACCCATTATATAGAAAGTGGCACTGAGACCCACCAATGATAATTATGTACTTGTCTTTTCATCATTTTAGGTGTATCAGGTTTGGGGTTTTTGTTCATGCATGTGAAAGCTGTTATTAGTTTCGTATATGTTTAGGTTTATGATGTCCTCTTGGTGAATCAACCCTCTGCATCTTGGGTTCTCCTTTGTTCTGTTTACTTTGTCTTAGTATGAAAAGAAATACTTACTGTATAATTCCATTTTTATAAAATTTTAGAACTTGCAAACTAATTTTATAGTGATAAAAGTAGTTGTATGAGAATGAGGGTGAGGGGGCACCAGGAAGCTTTTGGACAGATCAGAATTTCATCTCAATGTGGCAGTGGTTTCTCAGGGGTATAATATGTACCTTAAATATATGCTGTTTATTGTACTTATGTTATACCCCAATAAATCTTTTGTTGTTGTTTTAAAGAATTAAGTGCTCCTGATAACACTTTGGTCCCACTGCCTTGACACTAGCAATTTAATTTGTCATTGCTTATGCACCATCAATGTGAGCCTCAACACAATGAATTAGACAAATAACACAAAAATAGTTTGGACCTCAC